CTTCATGTTACACCCAAGGATCTGAGCAACTTTATCGAGCACACCATCATCAACATGCATGAGTACCAAAGTGCTTTGGCCGAAGTTACTCCCTCCATTCCAATGGACAAGGCGTTCATGTATTTCAGTGTTTAACTTTGATTATCAATTATACTGGTAATATATAAATTATGTGACTTCAAAATTATACCATAAATTCTTCAAATATGAATTCAATGATATAACTTTTGCCGCACGTAACTCACATTTTGTTTGTTAAACTGATGGTCAAACATTGATTTTTAAAATGTATGTGTGCCTTATACTGTATCCACTAAAATGAAGGGAGTAATATTTAAGCCGGTTGCCGAAGGCAAACTTGTCGAGGAGGAGGGTTTTTTTTCTATGAATTTCTGGCACGAAAGAAATGTTGAAGAGAGACTAGAAAAATCGAGAATCCAAGAAAAACTATAAAGTGACAAGCAGCTAAAAAAAGACTAAATCCAAGTTGATGGGCCGAATGGGTCTGGCCCAGAGGAACCAATAACCTGAGCAGTTTCCAGACGCCTCCGTCCATCCCAAATTCGTCCGTCCATTCGTCGAAAGGGGATTACGGCTCCACGCCAGCGCGCCCCGGCACCGCCGATCCAGCCGCGCCGCTGCCGCCGGCCCCCTCGATCGGAGGCCTCGGAAGGAGAGCAGGCGCGCCAGGAGGGGGGAGATCCGGGACGCCCCGGCGTAATCCTGCCGTGCAAGGCTCTTCCTGCCGAGACGAATCGTACGTGCCTGCCGCCGCGCCGGCGAACCATGTCGTCGTCCGCGTTGAGGGCCGCGGGGCAGAGGGCGGGGGCCGCGGCCCGTAAGCAGGCGCTCACCCTGACGGAGGCCGCGGCGGCCAGGGTGCGCCACCTCCTCGACCTCAGGCAGCGGCCCTACCTGCGCCTTGGCGTCAAGGCGCGCGGCTGCAACGGCCTGTCCTACACGCTCAATTACGCCGGTATGCTAGCTTCGCGTTTCCAGCGTATTGGTTTCATGTTGAGATTCCCTTGTTGCTGGTGGTTCGGTATTTTAGAGCAATGGAGATACCAAGCTCTGCATCTTGCAAAGAATTATTCGGAGAACTCTGCAATTTTACAGAGATATATACAGCGAGCCTAATGATTAACTGGCCTGATAAATTAATCCTCACATGCCATTTAGTAAGATCGCGGTACAAGTTTCAGAGGGGGGAAGGTGAACATATTCATACGTTAAAATTGCATGTCCTATTGCCCGGTGTTGCTGCTCCAACGCATGAGTTTCAAGTTAATTAGTTCAGCATTTCAGAGGCATGAAGCGCTTTGCATCTTGCAAAATATCATGCAGAAACTCTTCAATGTTACAGCAATTTACGCGCCAAACCTAGTGAATTAAATTGCCAGATAATCTGTCTAAACCTAGTGAGTTTAATGGCCACATAAGCTGGCCAAACATTGTGAATTAAATGGCCAGATAATATCACCAAACTTAGTGAATTAATTTGTCAGGTAATCTCTCGTTGGTATACCATTTCTTGAGATTGTTGTATAAGTGCCAGAGGAGAGGAAGTGAACATTCATATTTGTAAGTTAATATTTGGAATCGTCGCTATATTGCTTAGCCCTGCCTCCATCCTCCAACATCTAATATGCAGGGTTCCATGCTGTATATTTTGTTTGCTAAAATGTTTGTTATGTTTATGGCCAAGCCATGATGTTTAGTATTCTGAACTTTCGTTTGATATGTAGGCCGCGCTGTTCAACTCATACCATTTTCAGTTTTCTTAGTAACATCTGGTTGAACAATTTCTCCGATTATTAGTTCGCCGATCTAATGTTTTTGCCCGGCCTGTGTCATAAAAAGCCTTGCCCTTATGTACAATTATGCAGCCTTGTTCAGATGTTGGTACAGATTAGTGAGCCGTGCCCAGCAAGAAAACACCGATACTTCCAGCAACCAGTATATCTGTATTGAATACCGTATCCGATACAGATTCTTTCTCGATATGTCCCCAATACCTCTCAGGCTCCCCTAAATATATGCTACAAATTAGTGGTGCCGGTGGTGGGCTTCTCTCCCCGGTCCTCCAGCTCCCCTTGCCCCCACTCTCCTGTAGAATTCTATCTAATGGAAGGCTGCTGATTTCCTCTTCCTCCCTTTCTCTCTAACTGAACTTTTATGTTTGCTAAATTGCTGCTACTGTTTGGCTGTTGGTTCTTGCTTTTGTTGGAATCATGGATAAGAAGATACTGGACTGCACTGGCTAAATATATGCTAAATGACTTGATGCTTAATTGTTAACATATTTTTATATATTATTTTTCAAAAATAGTCAAACTTAGACCTGTATTGGCACTTTTCAGAAATGACATATTTACGTATCCATACCGCCCCGATACGGATACGTGTATCCGCATAGGTGCAATCTAGGTGCCCAGCATGGAACACATTACTTTTTAATAAATAAATCAATCTATTGAGCTTAATTTCCCAAACCAAGAATGCATATCAACTGTAGCATTAGTCAGATGTTGGTACAGATTAATGGGGTACTGGTGTTATCCATAGATAGATCAATCTTTTGAGCCTAAGATTTCCCAAGACAAGAATAAATATCACTGTACCATCATCCTATTATTGTGCAGATTGAACTAGCTTCTACATTTTCCATCGTTTGTTTTCTGCTGTCCATGCTAAAAAAGAATCTCTCCTTGTTCAGAAGAAAAAGGGAAGTTCGATGAGCTTGTTGAAGAGAAGGGTGTGAAAGTGCTGATTGACCCCAAGGCCCTGATGCATGTGATCGGCACCAAGATGGACTTCGTCGACGATCCACTGAGGTGCGGTCTCTAGTTTCTGTGCAGAACATGCTTGTTTTCGACCTCCATTGGCCTACCTCTTGTTGGTTACTGATGGTGGCGTGTGTTGCAGGTCAGAGTTTGTGTTCATAAACCCGAACTCGAAAGGGGAGTGTGGATGCGGTGAATCTTTCATGACTACGGGCAGCAAAGGATCTACGTCATGATGCGTCATGCGATGATGTAAATAGAGCGAAGCATGTGCAGTGGTGGCTCTAGTTACTGATATAATTTTGTCTTGGAAAGCAACGGCCATTGTAAGCTTGTTGCGCTTGCATCCAGGTAGTGAACACTGCAGTGGATTTAATCACGTGATGGATGAACCAGCTTGTTACCGGTACTCTTACATTCATCTTGGCCCCGTGTTGTTGATACGTTCACTAATTCTTGTTTGGGAACATACCGAGTGCATGATAATCAAAATAAACACAGCAACATTTCTTCTTTTGCTGTTTTGATACAAAGCCGTCTGGTGTTTTTTCGGCTGGAAATAAAGGCTTGTATCTATGGCATCTATCTTCTCTATCTTCTTTAAAAGTGAATCGTGAGTTCTTGCTTGTTTGAAAATTTATGTATGGAAATTGAGCTAGATCTGGGATGAACCAAGGTCGAATTCTTGGCAGACCTGGAACTGAAATTGAACAGCTGCAGCAGAAGCCAGGCACATAACACTGGAACTCGTAACATATGCTGATATTACTGACAGTACATGATGGGATCGATTGCTGAAGATCGCATATTTTCATAGATTGTTTTCCGTTAGCAGAAAGTACGAAGCGCACACACTTGAAGATTGCATATTCTCATAGTGCTGTTGGTTCAGTATGTGGCAACATGGCGCAGAGGCAATATATGTTGTTTCAGTTGGTTCTCAGAGGCATGTGTTAGCAGGATAGCACTTCTGAAAGCCCTTGACATATAGTACAATGGGAGGTGCTTAGAGAGATGCTTAGAAAAATAAACCGGGTTTTTCTGAAGCACCGGTGCCTATTTATACAGAAAAGACGCTTAATTAAAAATGCTTAGTTAAGCGCCTATCCTGTACAAATAAGCACTGATGCTTAAAGAAAGTCTGATTTATTTCTTTAAGCACCTTCCCTTGTACAAGGCCTAAATGGCATGAGTTTCTCCATTCTAAAAGCTGCCAGGATTCTTCAGGCAATTACTAGACAAAAAATCATAGAGCATACAGCGCACCCTCTGAATTAGCACCGTACAAGTACAAAGCAATGCCTGAACTGCACCACCAAGAGAAATTGCCTGAATACTACTGCCAGTACAAAAAATGAATGTGCGATTAGGACATGAAGCATAGCACGGTTTCTATCAGTCAAAGCGCAAACAAATATAGTGCTTTAGAGAAACTGTAAAAACAAAATAGTAATGGAACAGAAATCCTATCCCTGAAACACAGTTTGGGTCGGATCCGTCAAGCAGAAATTTCAGAACTGCGGTTGGCGCGGACACGATTTGAAGAGATCATGAACAACTTGTCCCTCCCGATTTGAAGAGAGATAACAATAGATCTAAGGAGCGAGTGAACTTCCCGCCAATTGATTTGTCATTTCTTATTCACGAAATTCAACGGCGAAGATCGCGTACCGTTCTAGCAAATTCAACGGCGAAGCAGAACCGCCGAGAGAAATTCACTTCTCCCGCAAAGGAAAAGCAGAGTCTGAATCCCCATGGAAATTAGAAGGATGGACACTTGCTTCGTGAATCAAGATCACAAGACGAGAAGAAATTAAGACGAACATGTAGTACCGAACATTGAGGCAGGCACCGTTACTATTTCTCGAGATCCAGAAACATCACGGTGCGATTCTTACACGATTACACGGCCACAAACACACCCGGACAGCTAACTACGAGACACAGGAGCAGGAGCACTCTACGAGGAGGTGAACTTGGTGACGGCCTTGGTGCCCTCGGAGACGGCGTGCTTGGCGAGCTCGCCGGGGAGGACGAGGCGGACGGAGGTCTGGATCTCCCGGGACGTGATGGTGGGCTTCTTGTTGTACCGCGCCAGCTTGGCGGCCTCGCCGGCGAGCTTCTCGAAGATGTCGTTGATGAAGGAGTTCATGATGGACATGGCCTTGGAGGAGATGCCGATGTCGGGGTGAACCTGCTTCAGCACCTTGAAGATGTAGATCTTGTACGTCTCCACGCTCTTCTTGGCCTTCTTCTTGCCCTTCTTGTCGCCGCCCTCCTTGGCGGCGGACTTCCCCGCCGGCAGCCGCTTCTCCGCCTTGGGCTTCTTCCCGGCGGGCGTCTTCTCCGCCTTCTCCGCCGCGGGCTCCTCCTCCGCGGGCTTCTTCGCCGCCGGCTTCTTCTCGGCCTTGGGCGCCATGGGTGCTGACGGTGCGGCGGGCTGGGGTTTGGTTTCGCCGGAGGATGTGTGGGAGTTGTGGGGATTGCAGATGAGATGTGGGAAGACGGGGAGGGGGGCGGGGAATTTTATAGATGGGAGAGGCGAGAGCTGATTGGCGGAGGGGTGGTGCCGCGGATCGATGACGTCAATCGATATCAGCCGTTCGCCGCTGTTGGGATGGACGGGCTGGATGCGTTTCGACGCGGATCGCTGACCTGGCTAAATTGTGGGCGGGCGGCAGGTGTGCTTCCGCGCGCGCTCTGGCAGAATTTTGGAGGGAAGACCCGCGGGCGCGAATTTTACACAGAAATTTTGGGTGTTCGCCCGGTTTGTATTGAGCAATAGTACAGTGAGTTTTTTAATCAAAAATGAGATTTATTAATTACTCCCTCCGTCCTAAAATATAATAACGTTTTTTACACTAGCATAGTATAAAAATCATTCTTATATTTTAGGACAGAGGGAGTACTATTGTTTTTACAAAAAGGGATTTATTAATCATTAGAGCATGTATAGCCCGACTGGGAAATCCAGCCCCTAAACATCCGTGAACATGCTCGTGGCGACCCCGGACAGCCCTCAAAAGTCCTGCGAACAACCACACTTCTCATGTCAAAATCCTCAAATTCAAGTAAATTCATGCACGTTAATCATATAGCACAAATTCATCACAAACTCAACAATCAAAGCAAAAAAAATTACAATTCAACAATTTGGGTGTGCCATAATGAAATTCAACCGTCCGGGCCACCGTTGGCTAGCGCGTGATAGCTATAAGCATCGTCTTCTAAGCTCACTCGTTTGCTTTGAATGTCGATGATCACCTTCATTTGCTTCCCGACCAATGAGGCTCGACTGGAGCCTAGTGAATTGTTCATATAGTTCACGAATCTCGTGCAACATTACTGCAATATATGATTTTCGTAGTTCATCGAGTCTCACGGCATCTGTTCGGCCCGACAGCGCATGGTGCTGCAAATCCGTACCACAAATCATGAATTTAGGTATATAACTCAAATAAAAACAACAATACATACGAAACTTAAATGTTTTAACATCATACAATTCAAAATTATTACAATAACAAATGGTCCAGAATTAAAAAAATGTTCAAAACACACATGAAAACAAATAGATCGAATTAATAAAATTGGAGTCTATTGCCCGTACATTTGCCACTGATACTCGATGGGATCGTTGTGTAGCTGCCTGTGTTTGTCACGGTCTTCAATCTGCCGGTAGGTCTCAAGAAATGCATTGATCACATATGGGTTTCTGGTAGGCTTGACACGACTACCAATATTGTCATAGAAAACTTTAAGTTTAAATCCATCTCATCCTCGATGAACATATTGTGTAGAATTACACATGCAGTCATGACATTTGAGAGGGATTTCTTATCCCATAAGCAAGCATGACCTTGAAAAATGGCAAATCAAGCTTGCAACACACCAAATATTCTCTCAATATCATTTCGTCGTGCTTCCTGCTCTCGGGCAAAAATAGTTTGTTTTTTTCCTACCGGCATACTAATTGTCTTCACAGATGTTGCCCATGAAGGATAAATAACGCCAACAAGATAATACGCCATGGTATAATCATATCCCACTGGCTGTATAGTTGCTAGCCGAAGCATTTTCACTAGCTAGGTGTGCAAAAAAAGGGTGACCTATGCAATACATTTGATATCATTGAGAGACCCCAGCAATCCAAAAAAGCAATGCCAGATCCAAAAGTCGTGTGAAACCACTGTTGGGGAACGTTGCAGAAAACAAAAAATTTCCTACGGTTTCACCAAGATCCATCTAGGAGTTCATCTAGCAACGAGTGATCGGATTGCATCTACATACCTTTGTAGATCACGCGCGGAAGCGTTCAAAGAACGGGGATGAGGAAGGCATACTCGACGTGATCCAAATCACCGGAGATCCTAGCGCCGAACGGACGGCACCTCCGCGTTCAACACGCGTACGGTCAGCGTAACGTCTCCTCCTTGATCCAGCAAGGGGGAAGGAGAGTTTGAGGAAGATGGCTCCAGCAGCAGCACGACGGCGTGGTGGTGATGGAGCTGCAGTACTCCGGCAGGGCTTCGCTAAGCACTATGGAGGAGGAGGATGTGTTGGAGAGGAAGAGGGAGGCACCAAAGGCAAAAGGTAAGAAGTCCTCCCTTCCCCCCACTATATATAGGGGGCCTAGGGGGGCGCCGGCCCTAGGAGATCCAATCTCCTAGGGGGGCGCCGGCCAAGGGAGGAGTCCCTCCCCCCCCAAGGCACCTAGGGGTGCCTTCCCCTTATGGGACTCTTCCCTCCTTGAAACCCTAGGCGCATGGGCCTCTTGGGGCTGGTGCCCTTGGCCCATGTAGGCCAAGGCGCACCCCCTACAGCCCATGTGGCCCCCCGGGGCAGGTGGCCCCACCCGATGGACCCCCGGGACCCTTCCGGTGGTCCCGGTACAATACCGATGACCCCGAAACTTGTCCCGATGGCCGAAATAGCACTTTCTATATATAATTCTTTACCTCCGGACCATTCCGGAACTCCTCGTGACGTCTGGGATCTCATCCGGGACTCCGAACGACATTCGGGTTACTGCATATACATATCCCTACAACCCTAGCGTCACCGAACCTTAAGTGTGTAGACCCTACGGGTTCGGGAGACATGTAGACATGACGAGATTGCTCTCAGGTCAATAACCAACAGCGGGATCTGGATACTCATGTTGGCTCCCACATGCTCCTCGATGATCTCATCGGATGAACCACGATGTTGAGGATTCAAGCAACCCCGTATACAATTCCCTTTGTCAATCGGTATGTTACTTGCCCGAGATTGGATCGTCGGTATCCCAATACCTCGTTCAATCTCGTTACCGGCAAGTCACTTTACTCGTACCGTAATGCATGATCCCGTGACCAGACACTTGGTCACTTTGAGCTCATAATGATGATGCATTACCGAGTGGGCCCAGTGATACCTCTCCGTCATACGGAGTGACAAATCCCAATCTTGATCCGTGTCAACCCAACAGACACTTTCGGAGATACCCGTAGTATACCTTTATAGTCACCCAGTTACGTCGTGACGTTTGGTACACCCAAAGCACTCCTACGGTATCCGGGAGTTACACGATCTCATGGTCTAAGGAAAGGATACTTGACATTGGAAAAACTTTAGCAAACGAACTATACGATCTTGTGCTATGTTTAGGATTGGGTCTTGTCCATCACATCATTCTCCTAATTGTGATCCCGTTATCAATGACATCCAATGTCCATAGTCAGGAAACCATGACTATCTGTTGATCAACGAGCTAGTCAACTAGAGGCTTACTAGGGACATGTTGGTGTCTATTATTCACACATGTATTACGATTTCCGTATAACACAATTATAGCATGAATAAAAACAATTATCACGAACAAGGAAATATAATAATAATGCTTTTATTATTGCCTCTAGGGCATATTTCCAACATCCACAACTTTGAGCACAATAGTTGGTTTGAGTTGATGGCCGGTGTACTGCCTGACCCCAAGCCTTTGGGTAGTTCTTCCCATTCCAATGCATGCAATCCACGCTCCCAAGCATGCCCGCACACTTAGTATGGTACCTTCTCCGATGCGAATATACTCATCCGTGAGATCTATCGAAATGTCATATGCTATCACTCGGATTGCCGTCGATATTTTTTGGTATGCACTAAATCCTAGCAAACCGGCGACAATTATCTAGCGAGTGAAGAACTGACATTTTTTCTCCCGAGCTCCCACAATGCGAACAAAAAAGGCCTACACATTCGATAACGCCTACGGAAGAGATGAGCCGATAGGTCGACACCTAGGCAAACTAGTCTTTTATGAGCAACTTCTGACCGAGAGCTCAGTTGCATGAAATGCAAAGTCGATCGACCATAGATCCGCGGTGCTTATTCTTCTTCTTGCCAGCTTTCAATTTGTCGACGAGATGCAACAAGAGGAGATGCTCGGCATCATCGTCAAAAAGCGTCTCCTTTATGTTGAAATCACCTGATTCCGACGACGAGAATGAATTCCAAATATTATATGTCTACGAAAATAAATTCGTGACCATATCAAAATTCGCCCATCAGACAATTTGAAGAGACGGTAGAAAAGATGGAAATCTTAGCTTTTACCGGCTCAAAGCAGCTGCGACCCTCTTCCCCCCACGGTCGGCCGAAAGCACAACTGTCGCAGCCCCCTTCATCTCCACCGCAATTGTTGCCTTCCCTAATTCCCCTTGCCTCGCAACGGCTCACGCGGACGGCAGTTGCTTAATCTTTCCCAGAGCAACCGGATCTGCCCACAACACGGCATCCATCGAAACTTCCAATCGGATCTATGGTGATGGTGGCTGCAGCCAGCCCGCCCGTGGCAAGAAATGGCGCTCCCCGAGCTCTAATCTTGGTGAAGAAGATGTGGCAAGAAATGGTGCCCCCGAGCTCTAATCTTGGTGAAGGAGATGCAACGAGGACGGGCGAAGCTCGATGGCGCGTAAATGGCCGGAGGAAGCAAAAGTTGTCGGAGATTTGGGAGGGGGTGGCAGAATAGCGGATGCGCGTTGAAATTTCCCTCACGCTAAGACGCATGTGGGATAGAGGAAACCACAAAGGAGGAAGGGAAAACTAAAGATTTGAGGGTTGTCGGGTGATTTTAGAGCTCCCTGCAAAAAAAGGATGTTCGGGCCTTTTTCTGCCAAGTAGGTTAATACCGTTCATCGGCGATTATTTTGCTGGTCGGGCGGATATAGTGACTCTGCTATAGACGTTGTTATCGGCCCAGTATTGTATATCGATGATTATTTGATACAGTAAACAGTTATTTTATGTGCGGGGCAGATATAGCGGCTCTGCTTGATATGCTTTTATCGGTCCAGTACCGTATATCAACGGTTATTTTGTGGGTCAGGCGGATATAGCGGCTCTGCTATAGATGCTCTTATAGAACCAGTGTCGTATATC